AATAGATATAAATAATATTAGAAATAACTGTTCATTTTCAACTTATGATATATAATATTGTTAATTTTTACTTAAATTTTTGCTCTTTCAGATAAGCTTTCGTGTATATATATATATATATATATATTGTATATAATTATATCTTTTTATTCACATTAAGCAATAAGACTGAAAGATATAAGTGTGTTTATAAATTATTCGAGAATAAATGCTAATGTGTGCATTTATTTATAAATATGGTATATATAATTAAATATAGAGTATTTAAACTTATTTAGCAATTTATTTCAAGATCGGAGTTCGTATTTTAGAATTAAAGTTACAGAAAATAGAAAAAAATACTTGATTGTTATTAAAAAATTATCATATTAAATAATTAAATCTAGGTATATTGATTTAACACAATATTAGAAATTCACAATCTCTTAACAACGATAATACTCTTCTTTCGGTTTGACCTGGACGTAATAAAATGTCGCGACCTGTATTCATTTTGATATATCTCAGCTAAACTCGGCAGGATTAATACGGTACATGCATTTTAATATTAGCTCGATAGTCGATCCTTCGGATGGGGAAACACGATTTTACTCCTTGGGTCATCGGGAATAGGAAACCAAAAATAAAACTCGATAAACGGTTTCGTATTACGCGGGTCCCTTGGTATTAAACCTGCTTATCCACATTTATAATTAATTATCTCGGCTAATGTCGGACGCATATAAAGTTTGTCTTTTGCTCTTCAAGGTGTATATGAAGATTAGTATAAAAAATTAGAACAATTAAAACGGTGAGAAAAAATTTAATGTCTCAAATACGAAGATAGCAATACGAGTGTCAGTATTTTTGAGATATTATTCAAAAATAATAGATTATATATATATATATATATATATATATATATGTAGGTATGTACACACATACACACACATATATATATATATATATATGTGTGTGTGTACATACCTAGACTACATTTTTATTAAAAAAAAAACTTGTGGCTTTATTTACCGACTGAAAACGAAGAAACAAAGAAGCAATTTTTTTGCGAATTGATTCGCAACATGATTTGCAAAATACATATATCATATAGGCACACATACGTTACGAGTTATATTATACTCTTTGCGGAAACGGAACCGTGGAAAAAGCCACTTTAAAGGCCATAAAACATTTGTTTCCACCATCAACCGCTTGCCGGGGTGGTATATTGCGTTCGTCCGCGCGAGCGCGGGATTTTGAATTGAATTTGAAATCAGGGGGTCCGATTTTATGGCAGTCGGGTGTCAAATGTCGAAGTGTCGCGCCTGGTGCCGGCTTATCGCCGGAAACCTCTGAGATTTCGGGACGAAAGCTCCGAAAAGGCGTTATCGGTTTACTTCGCAGGTCGCGATACAGGATGCAGAAAACCGTTCAATTCCGTTTTCGATTTGGACTTCGCATGAAAAAGTACGGAAGAGGGGCATAAAAAGGCGTAGAGGTCACTGTTTCGTTTTATTGGCTCTACTCTACCCTGATAATCACTCGAAACGATCGGGTCATACTTATAGCTCAGAAGTTCAAAGCTTTCTTCTTCCAACTTGTTGCAGATGTTTTCCGCGAGATCCTGAAATTCTCTTCCTATTATTAGCAATATTCATTTTTTTATTACAATTTTTTTATTTCAATGTTCACTCACTATTACTATCTGAGAATATGACGTCAGAAGTGAGAAAATACAGAGTAAAAATTTTTGCAAATAATTTGAACAGAAAAATTTTTTTAATAAAACATTTGCAATCGATAAAATAAACTTATAAAATATATGAAAAATTATCTACTTGTTTCAGGAAGAAATTGTTATAAATCATATTTATATCTATTATTATTAATTTGACAGTTTGTCATAACTGTGAGTGTAATTTACTTCGTTTCTAGTTATGAATAATCTATTTCCGGATATATAGTTATTTATTAATTGGCATTGTATATTTTACAAGTCAGTTCTATTGATTATAAGTGTTGTTTTATTGAAACATATTTGCATATTGATATATTCTGTAAGAATTTTTATCATGTATTTTCTCGCTTTTGATGTTACAATCTGGGATATAATAATAGTGATAAGTGAATAGAAGCCCTAAACTCGTATTTTGATTTCATATTGAAAAAAAAATCAAAATTGATTCCATTTTTTCTACATACACTATTAAAAAACAGAAATTTGTTTCCGTTAATGGAAGCAAATTCCAAGCAGGTACATTAAAAATATTTAATATTATCAATTTAATGCTTATCTATATAAAATTTAATGAAAAATGTACTGAACTTCGTAAAATTTTATAAAAAATACATTAAATTTCATGTACCTGTACACAAATATACATTTCAGATACATTAAATTTAATTTGGTGTACAGTTGGAAAAAATATGTTGAATTTAACATAAATCGCGCATATCCCAAACGGTCCACTCAAATTTTTTAGTTAATTTTACACAAGATGAATATGTTAGAAGGTAACACAAATATCATGTAAAAAAGTAAATACAAAGAAAGATAACATCAACACAAAGTTTGTAAACAAACCGTAAAAACATATTTTTTGTCAGAAAATTAACATTTATGATGTGTTAAATTAACACGGATTTTATTCATTTGCTTAGAATTTTCGTTTTAAAACACATTATTTTTATGTTACTTGTTCACTTACTCATAAATTGTATCATTTTGATACTAAAAAACATTGAATATCAATTTCACAAAAAATTTTTTAATAACATAATTACATTATGTTAAATTAACATTCGAATATATTAAAAAATTTAATACAACTGTTAACACAAACGTGAATGGACTGTTCCCAACATAAATACACAAATATTTTTACTGTGTGTCATAAAATTTAATTTAATTTATGTAACTTAAAAATATATTAAATTTCATGACATTTTTAACAGTGTATATATAACACTCTTTCAATATGTGCAAATTTTATATATGATATTAAGTTTTTTCATCTTATTATTATACTTAAATAAAGCAGATATAATGTCACTTTGAAAATCTCTTCTACAATGATATTTGTAAGACAAGCGGACGTTATATTAATATAGCATTGATGTCGCATTGCAATCCACAGTGTCGGCAATATAATTATATCGATGTTTGCAATAATTCATGTTAATATTAATTTGTACACGCGACATTAATATGTCGAAATATAGATATGCAGTATGTATGTTAAATAAATAAATTTTGTATAAGATTAGCATGGATGGTTAATATCTGGGACAAACAATATCAGATTGTTGAAATTTGCTAGTAACAGATATTCCTTTTAGGATTCTCCACGATAACGCGTGTCATATGCCACATTGACAACAAATGTTATTAACAAAAAGAGTGTTACAATGTGGTGCGGATTACTGTCTTGAACCTTATCACATATAAACAGCTGCGGTTATATTTAGTGATACTATATAAATTGTTATCGTTCGATTTCATTCGATAAAAACGACTGTTTCGTTATTTGAATTAGCAAATTCAGTTTTATTGTCATGTCTCTAAACAACCACTACTCATATATTTCTATGACTAGTAAATATGTTTCACTTTATTTTCATGTAAATGTTTCAAATACAATATTCTCTCTCTCTCTCTCTCTCTCTCTCAAAGAGCATTTCAATATACTATTCAGTCAATATCATAATATTGTGTCAATGGCCTGAATTGGGTCTGAATGAATAATTCATCGCGAGTATTTCATATATTTAATTTTTTTATATTTAAATGTATATATATGTACTCTTCGCAATTATATTTAATATCGATTTATCATAACGACTACTAAATAAATACTTAATTTTATATAAAATTAATGTACATATAAAAAAGAAGCAGATAGATAAAAATAGATAAAGAGAAAGTAATTTTAGAATAAAATAGTAAATATAGAAAGTTTAGAATAACTAATAGTTATATTCGATTGCATGAGTAGATTAGAAAAACAATCATTGAGTGTTTTCCAACAAGGTGGTACACAGGTGGTACAATGTTACATTGTGTAACATTGTGTCTTACACAAAGTGTTCCAACTATAACACAGTGTCGGCAATGTAATTATATCGATGTTTGCAATAATTCATGTTAATATTAATTTGCACACGCGACATTAATATGTCGAAATGTTGCGAAATATAGATATGTGTGTTAAATAAATAAATTTTAGTTAAAGTGTTACACTACTCGACACTGTAAAAACCTAAGTACGTGTAAAGTTTGTTAATGTTACTAACTTTTTAAAAAGTTATTTCGTAGCCGTACTTATTTTGCAACAAGTATCTTATACAGTGGAACACAGTGTAACGTCTCTGTATCCTAGCTGGAAAACAGCCATTATGGCTCTGTAAAGTTCACGACGTGTGTTAAAAACGCAATAAAAAATAAATATTAATAAATTATCGTTTTCAGGGATTAATCCCTTACCTGATCGTTGTCTTGATGATCTTGGCCGTAAGTGGGAGTATCACCATTAGGGGTGGTGGCGGCGGAGGGTCGCTGTGACGTTGACAAGTTGATCGCGCCGTCTCCGTCTGTATCATGATCCATTATGCCATCGTCCTGAAATCACGATCATCGTCACGTCAGTAAATACATTCTTATGCACCGAATTCGATTACACAAATAGAACGCGCTTTTCGAGAACATCGCTGTATTTGTATTTTTCTATCTATCACGATTTAATTTATTACAATAATAATGTAGCAATATCTGTAATAACCAAGCAAGAGATGATGACTCATCGAACTGATGTCAACATCGATATAATAGAGATAACGCATCAACACATTTTTTTATTTGTTACTTTTAACTCGTTACTTGTTATGAGTTACTTTTTTCAGTAAACAACACGTAATGATGATGAGCTCTTTAAAAATAACTTTCTCAACCTTGGGCGTTTAGTCACTCATTCAATGTCACAGCAAACGTCATTATCAAATCGTTATTATAGAAAGGAACGACAAGACTAACGACGTAACTTATTTCTCTATCCCTGCAGAATAATATACAAATACAAATTGTAGCATGAAATCTCTAGTCGTACATAAATATTGTAGTAGAAGATAAATAGATATCAGAAATACAAATAGAAAGGGCGCTGTATAATAAACATGCAACAATTAAATGTGCTATTTTAGGAGTATTCGGTCATGATCCCGGAACGTGGTAATCGTGACGAAATCTCGAAACGTGCAATCTTATCCGACATTGCCCTCTCGCGTGCGCTATGATTTTAAATCGAACTCTGACGCACGTGATTCCACCTACCCGATGCAAGAGAAACAATGTTTCGCGATTGCGAAGCTAATAATACATACTTTCCCGGAAATACGTAACATCGCGCTAAGATTCTGCTAAATTCACGCCAAGACTCTGCTTCCCATCATAAGCGAGTGTATAATACACAATACCTATATAGTTATCGTAAATATTTCGCAGCATCGCTCTACGCTTCAGCCATGTATAAATAATTCGTAAATTCCGACGTAATACCATACGCGAGCGTGTACAGAGCATGTGTATATTGATGAAAATTTAAAGTAGAAAATTAAACAATAAGGTATGTGCGCATTCTGAATAGCTAATTTATTGCAAAGTTAAATGGAAATTATACAATAAGGTGCGTATGTATTATGAATAACTAATTTATTGCAAAGTTAAATGAAATTTATGCGTTTAAAGTCACAGGAAACAAATAAATATGGGATATAAATGTTCCATCAAAAATGTTGCATCACGTTCGCGTCTGTGTGCAAAATGGATTCCGAATTAAATCATCATTAGCATGTTAATTATTCAAGAAAAATGAGTTTTTCTCGAATATCCCTCGCAATATCCCTCGATCATGCATCTTACTATCCGGCTAAATCAGAAAGCGTCATTTTCTCCAGAAAGGAATAATTACGCGCGACATGCAACCCGTTAATTAAACATCGGCCAGTTATTTCAAGTTCCATGGCTAGAAGAGACGCGTACAGAGAGTAAATCTCGCGCGTAAAATGAAAAAAAAAATTACAATCAAGCGTCGTATAATTAATACTCACTTCACATTACCGATTATTCACGACGACAGTCGCGATTAATATTACGTCACGCCTTAAGTCACCTAAGACGATCGCTTAATTAATTCTTAATTAACGTACGCGTCGTTCCGAGATTCAATAAAAATTCCTTACATCTGTTTCGGTTTACTGGTGGGCGCGTTGCAGTCCATGGGAAGTAACGGAATTAACACTATCCGATGAGAAGAAAGTTCCGCTGTTTCCGGCTTCGCCGGCAAGACACCGCTACGGAAAACGATTCACACGACGAGTGGCATTTCCGGTCCCGAAAGCGCAACGTGGCGCGTACGCGGTCGCAAACACTTCGCGCCTACGTTCACTGTATACATCCGGTATGCACACGCGGAAATCCCTTCGCGATGGCGCTGGAAGTCACCTCCGCGCGGGATTGTGTCTCACGAAAGCACCGAAAGTGTACACGTTCCTTGCACTGCATCCAGAAAGCGGCACTTTGAACCTCCTCCGCGAAACTCGATCGCCAGTCACTCGCGAGGTGGTAGGGGTGACGGGAACGAGGGGATGAGACGAGAGCGCAACCCTTGACAAACCGAACGCGACGGATAGCGCGACGGTAAAAACAAAGGGAATAAAAATGATGAAAAAAAAAAAAGAAAAAGTCGACGAAGGAAGGGAAGGAGGAAAAACGCGCGTCGGATTCGCGAAGAAGACGAAAAGCCTGACGTTAAACGCGCCGATCCGAGTAGAACCGAGGACTAAACACTAAAAGCGGCACAGGCATACCAAGCAGCTCGACCGGCGGGGCTGTTGCTTATTGTGTAAATATAAACAAATATAGTTGAAACCAGCCAACAGGCCTGCTTTCAGCTCCCCCACCCCTCATCCCCCCGCTGCCACAGTCCTCCGCTCAATGTGTGTACCCTGCCTTCTTCTCCTCCACGTCCCCATACCACCACGTCCCTCCCCGTATTCCCGCGTCCCCTCTACGCGGCACATCCAAAGACTTTCTCCCCCTCGTCCCGCTTAGATACCATCCCTTCACCACGTCCCTGACCCCACTGCTACCAGACTACATCATACACGGCACATCGTGGTCTGACTCGCCTTACCATATGTTCGTTTCTCCTTCTCACTCTCATTCTCTGTCTATGCTTCTTCTCTCTCTCTCTCTCTCTCTCTCTCTCTCTCTCTCTCTCTCTCTCTCTGTGCTCGCGCATCATACATCGCCGACTCGTCGCACACTGTCGCCGAAGTCGGTGGATTACGTGCCAGCGAGGCCCTAAGAGATCTTCGAAGTCCTCTTCTTTTTTTTTTGTGGGACGCCTCCATGGATCGCAGAGAAAGGAAGCGGTCGAAGTACGTCTTTCGTGGATATTTCTGACGTGCGTGTTGTGGGAATGGTTATGCTTATTCGGGACTAGTTTACGTGCTAAAGTTCTACTATCAATCAATTGGTATAAATTGTACGAAGAAGGAATATAAAATTTTTCCAACCTCTTGGTATATACATTTTAACGAGTTGGCATGATGTAATTCATGGTATTACCATAAATAGTAGAGAAAAATCGTTTTGAGTTTGCTGTAAAGAAATTACAAAATTGAATAAGAAAATACAAAAGTAGATGGTTTCGAGTTATATTTGATGTGCATACAACGGGTATTAAATTTACTTCGGTTGTTTCTGAAGATGTATAAAATACGAAAAGATATCATTTATTTTAAATAGAAATTTTCATTGTTCGTACACTGTCTAAAAATTTCATGAACTTTACAAAAATGTACATTTGTTATACGCCCACAAGATATTCTTTCGACTCGGAATTTCGCTGAGTATTTATAATTTATATTTCAAAATGGCGTCAAACCATTAAGTTGGTTTGCTAACAAATTTCTGCCGCGTAAATATTGAAACTTCTCTTTTAGAAATTGTATATCGCTTTGGGGTAAAAATCATACTTTGATATTTCTCTCTATTTATTACATCGTATGTTTATTAATATTCTCGAGACATAATCTTGAATTACAAACTGTATAAACAGAGTTAACACGTAACTTAGCGAGTAACTTTTGACAACGCACTCTTCAACGTATTGACGACACATCATATGCATCATTGAAGACTGACCCTCTTAACTCACTCTACGATAAGCACCTCACGACTTCACTCCGCATTTCGTGAAAAAAAACGAAGTGGACGGTGCAGGTATGGAAATTCTATTCTTCGGTGAGCTAAGTATATATATATAAAATGTGTGTGTGTGTGTGTGTGTGTGTGTGTGTGTGCAAAAGACGGTACACATAAGCGATAAATACGCGTGTACACACGTGTTGCCTGACGCAACTTGAACCACCGGCTTCAAGTTTGTACAGGCAAACCGGAAATGGGGGACAAAATGTTCTTCGAAACGTGTGTCTTCAAAATATTCCTTTCACTCGTTGCCTCAGCTCCTCAACAATTGCACGATATAGAGCGATACTTCCCCGTTGTGGGATCCCGAAGGCAAAAACACACGCTCTCGAATTTCAAATTATACCACTCATTTCGTACTTGTATGTGTAATATAAGCTTATTGTTATACGGTAACCCTGCAAGGGATGAAGCTTCGGTTATAGCGAACCTATTTTGTAGTTAATGATGTATTAAACAATATTTATCTATAACAGTTTCAATTATAGCATATTGAAACAATTAATTTACAACTGAATAATTTTTAAATTATTAAGAAAAATAAAAATTTATAAAATTTATACAAATATTAGAAATTTGAATCTTATTAGATCGATTTGAATCTCATTTGATTTATAAATTTTATATCTTATCAATATATGTGTATTATATATGTATATAATTGTCATAAACTACTCACATCGTAATGAATGCGATATACTAAATTAAGAGGAGTCTGAAGTTATGAATTATTATCGAAGAGCAAATTTTCTATCGACGATATCAAGAACCTAATACGGTTAATATACGGCTTGTAAAATAATACAAAACTGAAATGTATATGAATATTACTTTATTAAGAATCGTAAATATGCAAACCGAACTAGAACTCTCCAAAAACTAAATTGAACATTCAAGATGCCTTCCATTAAACTCATCAATATTTTGCTGAAAAATTTAATAGAAACCTATATTTCACAGAACACTTGAATAAATAACATAAAGCCAAAGTCGAAGTCGGGACGACTAACCTGCATAAATTTCCGTCGAAAATCCGGCGTTCGCTGTAACGCGGAATTTTCACTGCATTTTCCGCAGCGGTGCCTTCAAGCCTTCGACTCGCACATTCTACGCGCACGGTTTTAGAGAGATACCGCGTAATATAAAAATAAATTCTGCAAAAATGCTAGACGGATGGTTAACGGTGCAAACGGATGTAGCCGGTATTACACGCCTCGGTACATAAAGTTCTTATTAAGTGGACTGTATAAAGATTTAACAATGAGAATGCTAACACAATCGTACCTTTTTCTACGACCAGCGGCATCGAAGAAAGTTTGCGAGCGACTTTATTAAACCGGCGATACCGATCC